ATCTTGAACCTTTCAAGTCTTCGGGCTTGTGGGTCAGGGAGAATAAATGGAGGAGGTGGGGGGAGTGAAGCATGATGTTGAGGGACATCATCTTCAGGAGGAAAGCTTGTTTCAAGCGATTTGGGAAGATCATAGTTGTCTGAACCAGACATCTACAATGGGAGAAAATCAAGTTAGTTGATTCAAGTCCTTAATATAACACCCAATATGAAATATTAAGGCTAGGACCCAACACAATATTTTATAACTTGGAAGAGGGATGCCGTAATCCAAGCTATAAAATATTGAAGGTAGGTGAATGACGATTCACCAATTTCCACCATGAAAAACGAAATAATTTATTAGGTTTTAATTGGATTTGAAACTCCTAGATCTTTTGAGATTCATTGAACTTTTCAATGACATGTTTCAATCTCGATTGTGCCCTCTCAAGTTTTGTGACTGGGATGCCGAGGATCACAAAACAAGGTGTGAATAACCATGCAAACTCACTTGGTACCCTTAATATTATCACCTAATCGATGTGCCGGTTAACCACACACGCTCCACCGATCTATGATAAACATTAAGTCACCCTTCGTGATCCTTACTAGTCCAAGTTAGTGTGCCGGTTAACCACACACGCTCCACCAACGACTTGGTAAGGTACAAAGTGTGAATTCCATGGGTTAGCACCAATTCACATTTTCCTAAAGTAACTAAGATTGGGAATTTATAAAAGGTTTAGTTACTTTATAATATTCATTATACTTTTAATGAGAATTTAAAGTCATTGTCCTACCCGTTCGGCTAACGACCCTCCACCGATCAAGGAAGCGGTGGGTGAGAATGGACACCCATTAAGTTGCCATTTTATAGGCAACAACCTTATACCCCCTTATAGACCGGCTTCGTGAATGAGGCCTACTAACGGTAAAACGACTTGATCTTATACATATATATATAATAATTAACCATTAATGTTATAAATAGTATAAGGGTTGAATTTTAACTTTTAAAACTCTAAGGGTTTGGAATTAAAGTTTATTAAAGTGTGTGAAACTTTACAAATTCCAAAACTTGAGGGCAAGTTTTGTAACTATCCAAAAATTTTCATTTCATAACTTATGAATTAAAGGTTCATAAAAATGAAGACTCTTCATTTTATGTAAATTATGTGTTTTAAATGTGTGTTTAAAAGAAGTGACCTTTGGAAATCCATAACTTGAGGACAAATTATGGATTCCATTAAAACACATAAATGATCAAGAATTAATCCTAAACAATTCAGCAAATAATTCCTATCATCTTCTAAATTCATAAGAACATGAACATGATCATCAAAGTTTCAAGAATTATATGAACACATACAAAGCATGAAATTTTGATATAAGCTATTGTAAATGGATTAGAACAACCATTACACCAACTAAAACAAGTTTTAAAACACCAAAACAGTTTAGGGTAATGTTTCTAGTCCATTTCCAGCAGCAAAAGTCGAAAATCTGCATTCTGAGGCTCCTACTCGCCGAGTGCACGAACCTACTCGGCGAGTAGGATGAGTTTACACATGAACTCGGCGAGTCCCCCCATGGACTCGGCGAGTTAATCAGTCAGACAGCAAAAAATCGACTTTTTATCACTATTTTGCATCAAGTATCAAACAAACAAGCCTAGGCTCTGATACCACTGTTGGGTTTTGAGCATTCTAACACTTCCTAAGTGTACATGCAACCCTAATAAACCTTGGATCTATGTTTGTCTAAGGTACATGCAAAATATTATTTTCCAAGGTTTATAACCTATCTAGCATGGCATGGGGTACTTTTAAACATAAAAGAACTAGATGAATTACATACCTTTTGTTGATTGTTGATTCCTTGGAGTTTGAGAGCCAAGCACCAATAATGTGAATGCCTCAAATGGAAATCACAAATCACCACAAACTTGGAAAATGTATGAGAGAGTATACTAACTCTTAGATTTCGGCCACCACTATTACACACACACTTGGGTGTTTTTCATGCAACATAAGCTTGTTTATATAGTGTGCATGGTTAGGGTGAAACCCTAATAACCCATGTCTTTTCCTTTCCAAGGATCCATGGGTTAAAAGCTCCATGGATCATCCATGGACTTCCATATAAGCTTAGCCCATTAACAAATGAGTATTAGCCCACACCATATAAATATAATAGCCCATGATTTAATTAGTCTTCCTTTTAATCACTAAATCAATTCATAATTAATTCAAGATTAAAACTAATTAAATAACATGACTTTATATTAATATATTATAACTTATAATATATTAATAAATCGTAAGTATACAATTCTCATAAAATTATCCATAAACAGTTTGGGTGAAGTGCAACCCAAATGGACCATGTCGGGTCGGGTCAAGTATATACCAAATAAGTTATGGACTTAGACACCTTATCCAACAAGTTAAACCCTTCAAGCTGACAAAATCCTTGAGCTACAAGCCTAGCTTTGTTTCTTATGACGATTCCATCTTCATCCATTTTGTTCCTGAAAACCCAACGAGTTCCAATGATAGTCTTTCATTGAGTTTTGGGAACAAGAGTCCACACATGATGACGTTCAAATTCATTTAGCTCATCACACATGGCCTTAATCCAGTCAGCTTCTTTCAAGGCATCAAAAATATTCTTTGGTTCGATCACTAACACAAAGTTTACAAACATGTAAAAGTTTTTGTTGACTCTACTGCGAGTGAGAATCCCAGAATTTAAATCTCCAATGATTTGAGATTCAGGATGATCTCGAAGGATTCTTTGATTAGAACTTTTATTTGTATTGCTATGGGCGGAGACTTCCTGATTTGATAATTCAGCTTCTTCAGGGACAACAGACTGATCTTTCGAGATAGGTTGAGAACTGATTGATTGATCAACATTGGAAAGAATGGGATCAACGCCATTTGACAAGGGCTCGGGAACAGGGTCTGAAGGACTGTAAGTAAGTTCATTCATAATTGACGAAGGGTGATCAACTCGATCATGAATGAATGATTCCTCATCAAAGGTGACATGAATTGTTTCTTCAACAATTTGCGTTGAAAGATTAAACACTTTAAAAGCCTTGGATATGCTAGAGTATCCTAGGAACACTCCTTCATCAGCTTTAGCCTCAAACTTTGAATGCTTATCTTTTTTATTCAAGACGTAACAAACACATCCAAACACATAAAAATAAGAAATGTCTGGTTTCTTTCTTTTCAGTAGCTCATAAGCAGTTTTCCCATGACGTTTAACAATAATAGACTGGTTTTGGGTATAACACGTTGTATTGACAACTTCAGCCCAAAATGAGAATGAAAGACCAGCTTTAACAACCATAGTTCTTCCAGCTTCAATGAGAGTTTTGTTTCCTTCTTTCTGCAATACCATTTTGTTGGGGAGTTTTAACTGCCGAAAAGTTTTGAGAGATTCCTGAGAATGAGCAAAAATCTTCCAGAGAGGAGTTTCTGAATTCAGTTGCCTGATCACTACGTAATTGCCTTACTTTTGTATCATAGAGGACTTCCCACTGCTTAATGAGAGCAATGATTTCATCAACGGCATGTCTTTTTTTTTCTTAAAAAGACTGCCTACATAAACCTTGAAAATTCATCCACAATGACAACAGTATGTTTCTTCCCAGCTCTTGACTTGATCGAATCTGGTCCAAAAAGATCCATATGAAGGAGATGAAGAGGTTTGATCATTGAAGAACATGACTTTGGCTTGAATGACGACTTGGTTTTCTACCCTTTTTCACACGCTGAGCACAGTTTATCCTTGACAAGTTACATCTTATGAATTCCTTTCACAAGCTGATTTCCTGCAATCCTTGAGATGTTCTTGAAGTTCAGATGTGATAGCCTTTTGTGTCACAGCCAATTTCCTGCAATCCTTGAGATGTTCTTGAAGTCCAAAAAGATCCAACCTCTTTTTCTTTTTTTATTGCTGATATCTTGATGAATACTGATTAATATCTGCAACACATGCATATGTTAAAAAACAAACACATTTTTTATTACAGTCTGCAACCGCTTTGTCCACCTCTTTTGCTGTAAATGGTTGCAAAGGTGGTTCGCAGACTTCATTAATTTTTGTTTCAAAAAAACAAACAACACCTTAATCTTATTAAGGCCGATGTCGGTTGAGATTAAATTTGAAGATGAAGTCATGACATTATTACTATTATCATCTTTGTCTGATAGTTGGTCTTGTACCGTGACAACGGTTAGCAACTCAGCTGAGGATGCTAAGCTGACATTCGAAAACATACACGATTTACTCCTTGGTAAGGATGTACGCAGACGAAGTGTTGGAGAAGCTTCCAATAGTCTTCTAAGTACTGAAAACAAGGGAAGGGAGTCCAACGGAAGATGTGGGGTAGTGGAAGATCAAAGTTGAGGAGGAGAGGTGGACAGAACAACAAGAAGGACGTGACATGTTGGAACTGCAAAGAGAATGGTCATGTTAAAAGTCAGTATGCAATGCTCATTGTAGATAAAGGCCAAAAGAGGATGAATATGATGGAAGATTTTGAAGGTGACACGCTCATTTGTTTGGTTGAAAACTCAATAGAATCCTAGGTCTTGAATTTTTGTGCGTCATTTCACGCTTGTCATTCCAGAGATATGATGCAGAACTTCAGGCATTACCAATTAAAACATACTAACAAAAGAAAAACAATAGAACTAACAATCAACAATGTAAAATGCAAACAATCAAAAACGATGGTTTCTTGTGGGTGGGTTTGCATATAACAAGAAGAAATACAAAAAAACGAGATTCGAAAGGCACCTAAAAGGTAAAAATATCAATTAACAAACTCAATTACAAATAATTACCTTAGCATCAACTAAATTAGTCAACAAATAAAAATTAAGTTTGCCTTTGCAAAAATGGTGAGCCAGGGCAGTGAAAGAAGAGCTAGCGGTTAGGTTAGAAGACAAAGAAGACCGATAAAAAAGATCTGAAATGGATCGTTAAGTCATATAATTGAGGGCCACGTTCTAATTTTCTTTATGTAATATTTAACATGTCACCCACTTTCACATGTGGTCCATACGCATCCACATCTACATCTACTATGGCGACGTCAAGTTACGAGGTAAATCAAAGATAAATAAACAAAGAAACCTAGTACACATACGAAAAACATCACAACAGAAAATAGCACAAACAACGATTGTTACCAACAATAATTGTTTTAGGAAAATAATATATCATGCACCAACAGGGTACATATCAAGTGACAAACGAGGGGAGAGGAGAACATCAAGTGGGGTTGCTTTGCTGCAAGTCACTCCAAAGATTTCATCCATATCAACGGGTTCATTTCCTGGGGTTTTCATCTCAAATTGTTGTATTAAAGTAGCTAACGCTAAACGCGAAGCGTGGTGAGCAAATAAAATACCAGGGCACACTCTTCTTCCACTACCAAAAGGAAGCAATTCAAAATGGCTTCCCTTGAGATCAATATCTTTATGAGTTGTCAGGAATCTTTCAGGCTTAAATTCTTCCGGATTTGGCCATATCTTAGGATCACGATGGATTTTCCAAAGGTTTAACAGCAAACGTGTTCCACTGGGGATTTTGTAGCCCTGAACAACACAATCCTCCATGGTTTCATGAGGAAGTCCTAGAGGTCCAGGTGCGTATAAACGCAATGTTTCTTTGAAGATAGCATCAATGTAGACTAAGTTCTTTAGGTCTGACTCTTCTACAGGCCTATTCCTTCCAACATGCTCATCAATTTCATCTTGGGCAACTTTTATAGTTCTTGGGTTGTTAAGCAACAAACACAAAGACCATGTTAAAGTCACAGCTGTTGTCTCCAATCCAGCAATTAGCATGGTCTGCATGTTTTGAATATATTAAAACAAATATTCTTGGATTAATTAGCTAATGATATTCGTATTTACCCAACTTATCAAATGTTGTTTCTTGAAAATAATTAAATGAATCTGAAAAAACTGCAAACTCGTAGTGAAGTTCATATCATCTAGTCAATATATATCCATATAAACTTTGAAGATGTATAAATTAAATGAGCAAATAATGAAAAGAATTAAAAGTAATAGATCAAGTTGAAGCTTACCAAACATGTGGCCTTGATTATGGTATCATGGTCATGACCGGGGAATTCCTCTTCGGAAGCACCTTCAACAATGGAAATCAGCACATCCATAAGGACTTGGTTGCCTTCATCTTGTTGCTTAGACTTTCTCTTTCTTTTATGCTCCTCTAACCATCCATCAAAGATCTCGTCCATCTCTTTTCCAGTTTCCTTCATATCTCTCTCGTATCCTCCTATGTCGAAACCCTTCAGAGATGGAATAAAATCAGACACCACAAATGCGCCTAATAACTGAAAGAATTTCCTAGCCACATTTTGAAATCGAACCCCTTTTTCATCATTGAGCGAAAGCCTCTTTCCAGCAACAACCCCTAAAAGACCATTTAATATCAAGGTCCCAAACCATTGTTGCATATCCAGCTTCACCATGACTGATCCTGTACTCTCTTTATTCTTTAACCAAGCCTCATATATCTCGGCCGTGGATGCTCTACGCTCTGAAACTCGAATAGGCGCAAGCATCTCAACTCGTTTTGGAGAGAGAACCTGGAGCATGATGATCTTGCGCACTTGTCGCCAATAGTCCCCATACGGAGCAAGAGCAAAGATGGCATAGTTATAGCCCATGAGTTCCACTGCCATCAACTTGGGTCGACTTGAAAAGGCCTTGTCGTTTACTTTAAAGCACTCTTTTGCTATCTCGCTGCTACTCACTACCAAAGCATTGTGAACACCGAGCTTTATGGTGAAGATAGGACCATATCTTTCTGACAATTTAGCTAACACCCTGTGAGGTAATCCAGATGAACCTAAAAGATGTAGGTGTCCGATTACAAGCCATTTGCCCTTTGCTTGAGGTGGGGCTCTGTTCTTTCCTTTCTTTCCACCCTTTGGTTTCAAGATTTTCAGTAGGAATGTTAGTACAACAGCAAAAATGACGGTTGCTGTGCTCGTTGAAAACCGGAGAGAGAACTCCATGTTTTCTACCTGAAGATAGAATTATGAATTTGACGATACAGAGACATCAAAATATATAGAGATGCATGGTAGATATTAAATCTACCATGCATATATTATACAATAACATATATATGCATGGAAGATATTAAATCTGTTTGAACAAAGAATAAGCCAACAAATATCAGCTGGGTACTTTTGTTGGCGGCGATTTGTTTTTCTTAAACATATTAAACTGTACCATCACACTTATCAAGAAGAGAACACTGATTAGGAATTGAATTTAAATCCCTTGGTGTATCTCAAGTAACGATTACGGATATCAACGGGACCAAACGGGACCGGAAATAGCCTCCCCCGCCCCCGCCCCCGAATTCAGTTGTTTCTGCCGCCCCCGCTCCCGCCCCCGAATCCCCCGGTATCCTAACCCCCGATCCCGCCCCCGAATGTGTCTATTGCCCCCGGTCCCGCCAACGTTCCCCCGCTTCATGGGCTTAAAAATGGCTTTTTGGGCTTAAAAAAATAATTTTATATAATTATAACACCTTAAAATCTAGTTACAAATCCAACATAACAAAAACAATAAATCCTCTCTTACAAAAATTATAAATCCAATATTACAAATATAAAATACAACAAAAAAATTATAAATCCAACATTACAAATATAAAATACAACAGTATTCAAAACGTCTAAGTGACAGCTGAAGACATGAAGACATATATCAAGTTCATAGAACTGATAAAAAAATACAACACCATTTTACTCGAAAATAGCACCATTTTCACCATTTACTCCCTGTAATCATGTGTAGCATGATTAGTATAATAAAAAACCAATTACCTGAATAACCCTGTTCAGAAAAGAAGGAAAAGCAGCGAAAAATATAATGGAGGCTCTCAATCGAGTAATTGAGAAAGCTAAAATCTCCAAGTTAGTGACCGGCTTCAAAAGAAATAATGTACCTCAAAAGAATCTTTAATAAACACCAAAATGCATTATTAGCTTCAGAAAGCATGAATGTATATATGTTACAGAAGGTCTCATTGTCTTTAATTATGAATTCAGTTTCTTCATTTCCAAGGGGGCATGCAGCTCGATATGCATTTACAAGACTAGTCAAAGCTGACTCACTATGATCTTATTTTTAACCGATTTACTCCATGAATTGATTAATGAACATGTCAACAGATTGTGTTTAGTTGTAGCAGAATCATCATCATCTAACCCTGTTAGATCTTCAACAATCTCATATTCATCAAAATACTGTTACAAAGGGTATTTTAGTAATTTTGTTAGTGATCGACAAAAAATGCATATTAAAGAATGATCTCTCACCATGTCCTGAGTTTTTGATATCTTGTCCTTGTTGTAGCTTTCTAAAAACTTGACAAACTTCAGATCCTGAAAAGTTTATAAACTCCTCCATTAACATTTACAACTAAAGATAGGAAAAATAATAATGGTCAAAGGGAAGTCATATGGTGTTATGAAGATAATGTCGCTGAAGGGGACCGATGCCAACATTGCAATTACGGGTGAAGCAACGACATGGATCAACGTCTACTGTTATTTTCTAAGATCAGTACATAACCTAGAACAAATTACAAAATATCACATTATCAATATATCTAACCACAAATCAGAAGCCTAAATCGATTATTAAAAACATATAACTAAAAATCATAAGTCTAGATTACCAGATATGGAGTGGTAGATCTGAAATTAGGTCGTCGGCAGGAGGACGGCAACAAACGGACTAAAGCAAGTGGCAGAGGGTGACGGCGAGACGCAAGAAGCACGATGGTTGAAAATTACAGACTACAGTGGGTCATTCGATTGCTAGAGAGAGGCACGATAGTCGAAGATTGCTAAGAGGGTGTGACAAAGACGAAGAAGCGAAGGGGCAAGACGGAAGCAGGAAGAACTGAAGCTGTGTGTGTAAGATGTGAAGATGAATCTCTCATTCTCTCTTTGTCGGCGCCCAAAGGATATGCAAGAAACAAACCTAAAATTCAGATTATATGTCTATATATATTTATATATTAAATCTATATTATTTATTATATATGCAAACGGGGCCCCCGCGGGAGTACGGGACGGAAATACCCACTCCCGATCCCGCTCCCGAAAATAAACGGGGTTTAATCTTGCCCCCGCCCCCGCTCCCGCTCCCGAATTTTTAAAGAAATTAGTCACGTACGGTATCGGGGTCCCACGAGAACGGGGGCCCACGGGGGTTTTTGACATCCCTAGTAACGATATAAGACCCAAAGGGAGTAGCATAGGCACGGAACACTACCCCATCCGGTTTTGGGTGTGGTTTGGCCTCACGTCTAGCTTCAAATGTCACGATTGTTGATTGGTGGGGAAAAAATTGGCTGTTGACCGGTCGCACATTACATATATATATATATATATATATATATATATATATATATATATATATATATATATATATATATAGGTAGAGTTTCATTTCAGACCACCTATATTTTGTGAGACATGGGGACCAAATCTGAACCTTTGATCAAAACTGATCTTGTGGCTCATAAGAAAACGTGATTAACACTAATTAATCTAAAATATTAGTTAATTAGGGGTAGATTAGTCACTAGGTTAAATTTTAGATCATCAGATCTGTTATCTTCACATTATCACAAAACCCAGCTGCTTCGATTCTTTCTACCAATTCACACTAATCGATCAACATTCCTTAATCTCCGATTCACGCTAATCAATCTTATATTTGCTTCGATTTGAGTGATTGAGGTTTATGTTCATCTATCGACATCAACAACTCATTACAAGATTGTTATCAATTTCAGCTCTGTGATCATCGATTTCATCCAAGGTAGAAGTTCAAGTGTTCAGTCGATTTCTAGTAATCTTCATCTTGAACAATTGCTAACGATCTTTCAAGCTGTGCTTTTTACTCTACATCATGATTTCATCAATTGATCAAGGTTTGATTTTTCTTCCCCTGAGTTTCTGATCAACGATTTTTAGCCATTCATCAACTGATATCGATATCCATCGTATCGATGCTTCGATTTTACTCTCAAATATGGTGTTTTATCAATTTAACTTCATCTTAAATCTATTATCAATTCAAGTATTTGATTTCAGCCATCGATTATCAATTTCAAGCTTTTGGTTTTTTCTGTGCATTTGAGCACATATTAAATGAAGATAAGCAACCAAAAACAACGTATCTTCGTGTTATTTTGTGCTCATTGTATAAAATCAATGAGGTATGTACATAACTATTATTGTTCTTGAGCCAATTCTCTTACATTATACATGCACTCTACCTGTTTGATGAAAGTCGTGAATGAATAAAGAGTATGATGTAGAGTATGATATATCACTCTTTCCTTCCCACCCTTAAACTTTGTTACTATTTAATGATATTGACCCCAAATTCCAAGCTGATTTTTCTTAACTTAGTGATGACTGGTGTACTTCTTCTTTTTGTCACTGATTGAAGGACGTACAACTGTCATCGATGCAAATGTTCAGTGCATATGTTGGAAGAAGCATATCATCCATATCTTGCCACCATTAATTAATGATGAGAACTCCAAGAAGCATATTGACATGTTGGTTTCAATGGTGTTTGGTCCATAAAGAGTTAAAGTGGCTAATAAGTTGATGGATGATGAGGACTTGGTTCATCTTTAGAATCGAAATCTGTAAGAGGATGTTGTTTTAATTTACTCCCTGCACTCTCTTTATTTCTTTCTTGATGAAATTGTTCCCTACATTTGTGCAACTTTAAACATTATTATTGCAGCAGATATATATCCTAATACCCATCAAACCCCTTTCACAATTTAAAGTGGTACATACAGGTATGAAATTAGCTAAAACTTTCATGTTTTCTATCATTACAACTTTTTAGGTAAGTCTTGAATGGAACTGTAGAGAATATGGCTCGATAATAGTTGTCTGGAGTGCCTAATTCAATGTAGTGGGATGTTATAAATTTGCTTATATTTTGTTTGTTTGGTTTCAAGTGATGTATTTGAGGTAATTGAATAAAACGATAACACTATATTCTAAGTTTTTACTTTTACATTGGCATTTACAAATAAGTTGTGCATTATTTTAATTTTCTTACATATATGTTGTTATATTCTAGTTCGATATTTGATGTTCATATAAGCATTTAGTGTTACATTCTATTTAGAATGTTCTATATATACAAACATCCTATAGTATTATTCTATAAGAATATTAAGTTGTAACTTGAATGTAGACAACCTAATTAAATTATTCTGTTAGAATGGTATGTATATTCAGAATATTAAATATAACATTAGAATCTTATGTAATATAAGTTCATTTTATATGTTATAACACAATTTAAAATATTACACTTTAATATAAGAATATTTCATACAATTTCATAATATTACGTATAAATTAACAACATATTATTAAATACTGTAACCTTGTGATATATTTTTTATAATACAAACTTGAAATTTGTTTTTAGTCTATGAGGTTTTAGAAAACGTTTCAACTTCCAGAGAAAAGTTTGATATTTATCCTAAAAGTATTCATTTCATTTTATAAACTTATATGTTTTTCACTCGTTTAAAAAGTTTATTAGTCTAGGTTCCTACATATTATTTGGTTTCCTACACACTTGAAGGGAATGATGGTCTGAATTAGAATATTTTATCTTATAATATAATATTACATCATATTACAATCTTTCGGATTATTACACATTAACATTATAAACTTTTCTTTTCTATAAATCATTTTTTTTCTAGACTATCCTATATATTCCTATAACGCTATAAATTGTAAATTTAGACTATTACATAATATTACATAAAATATTAGAATCTTACATAATGTAAGTTAATTAAGAAATATTCTACATATAACTTATAAGAGTATAAAAAAGCCTAATTTTAACTAAGAAATATTCTATTAGAATATTGTACATATAACTTAAAATATCCGAGAACCTTATACTATTATAATATTCTACATATAACTTTTGA